GGGGGTGCAGGCTGCGGGGCTGCCCCAGGGGCTGCCTGGCATGGCCTGAGCAGCGGAGACCCTCCCCTGAGTCCTGGACGCTCAGCCCCTGACCCCCGGGCTGCACTCGGCTTGCTGTGTGGCCGTGAGGTCAGGAGACCGTCCCGGGATGCCAAAGCCACGTGAAGTCAGACAAACACCATTTTTTACTCCAAACATTGTTTTTCCTCACGTCTCATTGTGATGAAGGCACGTCACAGAAAAGTGAGCGTCCCCGCCGTTCCCTAGCGTGTGGCTCCGTGGTGTGCGGTGCGCTGAGGTCCAACCCCTCTTCTGGCTCCTGCCCACCGTCCCACACGGAAACTCGATGCCAGCTTTACCTTTTTAATTTTTTTTTTTGTTAATCCTCACCCAAGGATATTTTTCCATGGACTTTTCAGAAAGAGTGGGAGGGAGAGCAGAGAGAGAGAGAGAGAGAGAGAGAGAGAGAGAGAGAGAGAGAGAGAGAGAGGAGAGAGAGGAAGAGAGAGGGAAAGGCAGAGAAACATCAGGGGGGAAAGGAGCGTCTCCACATTGCCGTTTCTCTCCCAGCCGCCCTGTAAGGGATTCTGAAAGACCAGCCAGTGTCGGCCTGCCTGGAGCCTAATCACGGCTCTTCAGAGGGGAAAAGCAGAGCCCGTTAAAAACCGCGGGACAGCGGATGGAACGTGAGCGTCTGTGAGAAGCCATTGTGGGGAGCCTCCCACGGCCAGAGACACAGCGCCTCACTCACACCCGGGCGCCAGGGCTGCACAGGGGCTCGGCGCTGCTGAGTACCCAGCACCGGGCACCTCGGCCTCTCCTGCCAGAGGGCCTCAGAGGTGGGCAGCGGGGAAGGGGCTGCGGAGGCCCGGATGGCACGCATCTGGCCAAAATGAGAAGAGAAATCAACTTCTCAAACCCACAGGCAGGTGTTTGCAGCCTCCAAGGAGGCCTGCTGAGGAAGGACAACAAGGAGGGTCTGCACCTCTGGCTAGTGAAGGCACACTGATGGTCTGGTTAAGGCACCCAGCTGGTCTAGTTAAGGCACCTCTGGCTAGTGAAGGCACACTGATGGTCTGGTTAAGGCACCTCTGGCTAGGTAAGGCACACTGATGGTCTGGTTAAGGCACCTCTGGCTAGGTAAGGCACACTGATGGTCTGGTTAAGGCACCTCTGGCTAGGTAAGGCACACTGATGGTCTGGTTAAGGCACTCAGCTGGTCTAGGTAAGGCACCTCTGGCTAGTGAAGGCACACTGATGGTCTGGTTAAGGCACTCAGCTGGTCTAGTTAAGGCACCTCTGGCTAGTGAAGGCACACTGATGGTCTGGTTAAGGCACCTCTGGCTAGGTAAGGCACACTGATGGTCTGGTTAAGGCACCTCTGGCTAGGTAAGGCACACTGATGGTCTGGTTAAGGCACCTCTGGCTAGGTAAGGCACACTGATGGTCTGGTTAAGGCACCTCTGGCTAGGTAAGGCACACTGATGGTCTGGTTAAGGCACCTCTGGCTAGTGAAGGCACACTGATGGTCTGGTTAAGGCACTCAGCTGGTCTAGGTAAGGCACACTGATGGTCTGGTTTAGGCACCTCTGGCTAGTTAAGGCACACTGATGGTCTGGTTAAGGCACACTGATGGTCTGGTTAAGGCACACTGATGGTCTGGTTAAGGCACCTCTGGCTAGGTAAGGCACACTGATGGTCTGGTTAAGGCACCCAGCTGGTCTGGTTAAGGCACCTCTGGCTAGGTAAGGCACACTGATGGTCTGGTTAAGGCACACTGATGGTCTGGTTAAGGCACACTGATGGTCTGGTTAAGGCACCTCTGGCTAGGTAAGGCACACTGATGGTCTGGTTAAGGCACCCAGCTGGTCTGGTTAAGGCACCTCTGGCTAGGTAAGGCACACTGATGGTCTGGTTAAGGCACACTGATGGTCTGGTTAAGGCACACTGATGGTCTGGTTAAGGCACCTCTGGCTAGTGAAGGCACACTGATGGTCTGGTTAAGGCACTCAGCTGGTCTGGTTAAGGCACCTCTGGCTAGTGAAGGCACACTGATGGTCTGGTTAAGGCACTCAGCTGGTCTGGTTAAGGCACCTCTGGCTAGGTAAGGCACACTGATGGTCTGGTTAAGGCACACTGATGGTCTGGTTAAGGCACACTGATGGTCTGGTTAAGGCACCTCTGGCTAGGTAAGGCACACTGATGGTCTGGTTAAGGCACCCAGCTGGTCTGGTTAAGGCACCTCTGGCTAGGTAAGGCACACTGATGGTCTGGTTAAGGCACACTGATGGTCTGGTTAAGGCACACTGATGGTCTGGTTAAGGCACCTCTGGCTAGGTAAGGCACACTGATGGTCTGGTTAAGGCACCCAGCTGGTCTGGTTAAGGCACCTCTGGCTAGGTAAGGCACACTGATGGTCTGGTTAAGGCACACTGATGGTCTGGTTAAGGCACACTGATGGTCTGGTTAAGGCACCTCTGGCTAGGTAAGGCACACTGATGGTCTGGTTAAGGCACCCAGCTGGTCTGGTTAAGGCACCTCTGGCTAGGTAAGGCACACTGATGGTCTGGTTAAGGCACACTGATGGTCTGGTTAAGGCACACTGATGGTCTGGTTAAGGCACCTCTGGCTAGTGAAGGCACACTGATGGTCTGGTTAAGGCACTCAGCTGGTCTGGTTAAGGCACCTCTGGCTAGTGAAGGCACACTGATGGTCTGGTTAAGGCACTCAGCTGGTCTGGTTAAGGCACCTCTGGCTAGGTAAGGCACACTGATGGTCTGGTTAAGGCACACTGATGGTCTGGTTAAGGCACACTGATGGTCTGGTTAAGGCACTCAGCTGGTCTGGTTAAGGCACCTCTGGCTAGGTAAGGCACACTGATGGTCTGGTTAAGGCACCTCTGGCTAGGTAAGGCACACTGATGGTCTGGTTAAGGCACCTCTGGCTAGGTAAGGCACACTGATGGTCTGGTTAAGGCACCTCTGGCTAGGTAAGGCACACTGATGGTCTGGTTAAGGCACCTCTGGCTAGTGAAGGCACACTGATGGTCTGGTTAAGGCACTCAGCTGGTCTAGGTAAGGCACACTGATGGTCTGGTTTAGGCACCTCTGGCTAGTTAAGGCACACTGATGGTCTGGTTAAGGCACACTGATGGTCTGGTTAAGGCACACTGATGGTCTGGTTAAGGCACCTCTGGCTAGGTAAGGCACACTGATGGTCTGGTTAAGGCACCCAGCTGGTCTGGTTAAGGCACCTCTGGCTAGGTAAGGCACACTGATGGTCTGGTTAAGGCACACTGATGGTCTGGTTAAGGCACACTGATGGTCTGGTTAAGGCACTCAGCTGGTCTGGTTAAGGCACCTCTGGCTAGGTAAGGCACACTGATGGTCTGGTTAAGGCACACTGATGGTCTGGTTAAGGCACCTCTGGCTAGGTAAGGCACACTGATGGTCTGGTTAAGGCACACTGATGGTCTGGTTAAGGCACTCAGCTGGTCTAGGTAAGGCACCTCTGGCTAGGTAAGGCACACTGATGGTCTGGTTAAGGCACTCAGCTGGTCTAGTTAAGGCACCTCTGGCTAGGTAAGGCACACTGATGGTCTGGTTAAGGCACTCAGCTGGTCTGGTTAAGGCACCTCTGGCTAGGCAAGGCACCTCTGGCTAGTTAAGGCACACTGATGGTCTGGTTAAGGCACTCAGCTGGTCTGGTTAAGGCACCTCTGGCTAGGTAAGGCACACTGATGGTCTGGTTAAGGCACTCAGCTGGTCTAGGTAAGGCACACTGATGGTCTGGTTAAGGCACTCAGCTGGTCTGGTTAAGGCACCTCTGGCTAGGCAAGGCACACTGATGATCTGGTTAAGGCACTCAGCTGGTCTGGTTAAGGCACCTCTGGCTAGGCAAGGCACACTGATGATCTGGTTAAGGCACTCAGCTGGTCTAGGTAAGGCACTCAGCTGGTCTGGTTAAGGCACCTCTGGCTAGTTAAGGCACACTGATGGTCTGGTTAAGGCACTCAGCTGGTCTAGTTAAGGCACCTCTGGCTAGTTAAGGCACACTGATGGTCTGGTTAAGGCACTCAGCTGATCTATTGATAGTTAAGGCACCTCTGGCTAGTTAAGGCACACTGATGGTCTGGTTAAGGCACTCAGCTGGTCTGGTTAAGGCACCTCTGGCTAGGTAAGGCACCATAAAGGTCCCTGGGAAATCATGGAGACCAGGACAGGTCACACCGGTGGCCGGAGTGCGGGAGGGAGCCCCGATGTCCACCCTCTCTTGATAATTGCATCCTTTCGAAGACATTTAAATTATTTAGGCGGTTGTAACCGAGGCATCTTTAATAATGCACCGAACAGCGGGCACCAGGTGGAAATCAATTAGACTCCACGGCTAAATTACAAGGCAGAAATTTACAAGAGGGCGGTGGGATGGGGCTGCAGGTGCACAGGCCTGCCAGAGACAATTAGATCAGCAGCCAGATGGGGCCTGCCTCTTCATGGAAACGGCAGAACACCGGCCTAAGCTCCCAAATACAGGGCGATCGTCAGCAATGAAAATGAGGAGGCCCACCCTCTGATCCGGGCTCTGGATGGTCCAGAGACGTGGTGGCAGAGCAAATCTCTGTGCAAAGACAAGACGGCGAGCGGCTGCGGCCCCGGTGGGGCTATTTGGGAAGCGGGTGCACCCCGCCCTGGGAGCCGGTTAGGCAGACGGGGAGGTCCTGCAGGGGCCTGTCTCCGCAGCGCCCAGAGGGTGACCACCACCTCCTGCGGCTGCAAACTCTCCCTTTCCCGTCCAGCACGTGGCGGGGCCCAGGCGCCGCTCCCGCCCTCGGCCGCGAGGGGGCGCAGGGCGCAGGCGCGCTGCTCTCCGGCGCGGGCGGCGGCGACGCGCCTCCGGGCCGCCAGGGGCCGCTGTGGCGCCGCCGGGGCCGCTGCGGCGCCGCCGCCGCCGGGCCCTCTTGAGCGCGGCCTGCCGGTTTGGCGGGGTGAAAGGTTGCGAAGATGGCGACGGCCTTGAGCGAGGAGGAGCTGGACAATGAAGACTATTACTCGTTGCTGAACGTGCGCCGGGAGGTGAGGCCCGCGGCGGGGCGCCGGCAGGGGTGAGGCCGGGCCCGGCCGTCCGGGGGGGCCGGGCTGGCGGCTGGCCCCCCGTTCCCGCCGCCGGAGGCCGCGGCCGGCGAGGAGGCCTCGTGACCCCGCCTGACGTGCGCGGCCGCCGGCGACCGGGCGGCCCCACCGCCCGGGCCCTCGCGCGGGGTGCCCCGCGGCCTGAGCCCCGCGCTCGGCGGCCGAGGCGCCGCGGTGCCGTCCGGGGCGGCCGGGGCCCCGCACCCGCGGGAGGCGCAGGGCCCGGGGAGGAGGCGCAGGGGGAGCCCGGCCCCCCAGGACCCGGGGCCGCGCGCCTCCCGCGGCCGCCCCGGCGGAGGGGCCGGGGGGTGACCTCGCCCCGGCGGGCGGGACGGGGAACAGAGTCCCGGGTTCCAAGGTCAACGCCGCCCGGGCCTCCGCACGGTCGGTGGGGCCCTGGCGTGGCCCGGGCTCCGGGGACAAGCCCGCCCGCCCGCCCGCTCCCCGGCGGCGGAGGGAGCGCCTCCCGGCCCCGCAGCCTCGGCTCCGGGCTGCCGGTCAGGAAGCAGCTCCGTGGCCGGGAAGGAAGCGGGGCCCGCGGGCCCGGCCTGGGGGGCAGGGAGGCGCCAGGGTCCGGGCAGGCGGTGGGGGAGCGTTTGCTCCGGCCCCGCCCGCGGGCTCCTGCTGCCGGGCCGGGGTTGGAGGGTGGGAAGCGGCCGGGCTGGCTGTCCGGGCAGAGCTGGCCCGCGTGGCGCCCCCGATGCCCAGTGCGCGGGGCCACCTGCCGAGCGAACACTCTGCCTCCCGTCCCTCTCCGAGCCCCGGAGGGAGGGTGCGATCCCTGGGCTCCTGGCGGGGGACCCGGGGGCAGACGGAGAGCAAGGCCCGGGCCGCGGGCCCGCCTCCGGGAAGAGCAGGAGTCCCTGCTGTCACCCCCGCTGCCCGGCCTCGGACCACAGAGCTGCGGGCCCGGGACTGTGTTCCGGGGGGACCCCGCGGGAAAATCCCTCCAGCGTTAGCCACGTTGAAACCCCAGGGAAATGCTTTTGGGGATTGGAAGTCATGCCAGGCTGCCTTAGGCACCTGGAGCGGTGTGTGACTTAGCAGCGAGGCTTTGGGCAAATCACTGCCGCCTTTGGTTTCTTCCCTCAGTGTCCCCCCCCCCCCCCCAATCCTCACCCAAGGACATGTTCATTGATTTGAAAGAGAGACGTGGATGTGAGCATCCGCTGTCTCCCATATTGGCTCCAACCGGGCACTAAGCCGTAGCCTGGGTGTGTGCCCTGACAGGAACCGAACCCAGGACCTTTCATCGTTCAGGACGACCCTCCTGAACTGAGCCACAAGGCCAGGGCTCTTTGCCTTTAAATGAAACTGTCTGGCCAGTTATTCTTTAAGTTTTCTGCAGTTCTTAAAAAGCAAGGCGGGTGATGAAACTAGCTTTTCTGAAGTCATCCTTCCTTATCATCCCTTCATAGCTAGTCTGGGTTATCAGTAATTTAGCTGCCACTGACCTGTTTACCACGTTTACAGAATACTAGCTGCAAATGATCAGCTAGTGTTCTGTAAATACTAGTAGGCTAAGCCAGACTCCTTGGTAAACATTTGTCAAAAGTGTATCTTGAGCCGAAACCGGTTTGGCTCAGTGGATAGAGCGTCGGCTTGGGAACTGAAAGGTCCCGGGTTCGATTCCGGTCAAGGGCATGTACCTTGGTTGTGGGCACATCCCCAGTAGGGGGCGTGCAAGAGGCAGCTGATCAATGATTCTCTCTCATCGATGTTTCTAACTCTCTATCCCTCTCTCTTCCTCTCTGTAAAAAATCAATAAAATATGTTTTTTTTATAAAGGAGTCCTACAGCTTTAAGAGACGGGTCAGAGCATGTGTAACCTTAATATTATATAATATTAAAAAGCTCCATTTAAAAAAAAAAAAGTGTATCTTGAAACCTCTGGAATCTGTCACTGTTTCTGGTCTGATGTGTGAGAGCCAAAGAAATACTTTTTAAAAGCTTTACTACTACCACCCTAGCGGGTGTGGCTCAGTGGATAGAGCATGGGCCTGAGCTAAAGGGTCCCAGGTTCGATGCCTGCCAAAGGCATGAACCTTGGTTGCAGGTTGGATCCCTGGCCCTGGAGGCAACCAATCAATGTGTCTCTTCACATCGATGTTTCTCTCTGTCTCACCCCCTCCCTCCTATTCTAAAAATCAATGGAAAAACATCCTCGAGTGAGGGTTAATAAAAATCAAATAAAATCCCCCAAAATGTCTTGGAAAGTTTACTACCACCAATGAGTGAAGGCACTGCCCACATTTATGACGACGGGAAATCCCTGTGGAACGCGTCCTCTTGATTACGTCATTTTGTGTGGCCTTTGTCAGCAGACTCCGTGTAGAAGGTGTGCTGTGCCAACTTCATCTCCTGATTCTGTAAGATACGCTCTGAAGGGTGGTCTCTGGGCTTGACATTTACTAGGACCTTTTTGTGAAATCAGAGGGCAACCTGAAGGTGAAACAACATCCAGTTGGAGAGTGAGAGGAAAATAGAAGACTTATTTCTTTTTCTTATTTTTAATTTAACGATATGGGGGGGCCAGGCGGGAGCCCACCTCTAGTGGGAGGACTGCCGCTAGGCTCTGGCCTTGCTGTCACTTTTATGGAGACAGGTACACCCATAGCCCTTAGGCAGGTAATAAGTGGACTATCATATCAGTAAGTTGCCTCAGGTACGTTGTCTCAACTAGATTTGGCTCAGACGTTCAGAAATAGTCCTTACTTCTTACACCTGTGGCTGGAAGCGGCCAGGAACACCTGTCTTGTTTGCTACCAGTTGTAGATGCCCAGTAGCATTCCCACCAGCCATCAGAGCTTCCCTTGGTGCTCAGGACGCTGAGTTTTCCCCGGGAGTCTCAAATGGAAGCAACCTGCGAGTTCTAGTTAGAAATGTAAAAATTAGAATAAACAGCCGAAACCGGTTTGGCTCAGTGGATAGAGCGTCGGCCTGCGGACTGAAAGGTCCCAGGTTCATTCCGGTCAGGGGCATGTGCTTTGGTTGCAGGCACATCCCCGGTGGGGGGGGGGGGGTACAGGAGGCAGCTGGTCGATGTTTCTTTCTCATCGATGTTTCTAGCGCTCTATCCCTCTCCCTTCCTCTCTGTAAAATATTAATAAAGTATATTTTTTTAAAGAAGGAATAAATAGATAAAGAGACAAATAAATCAATAAATAAAAATGTAAAAATTAGAATCAGAATACATAGTTACAATTGAAGTAATTAGAAATAGTCAAAAATCAGTTTAAGAATCTTCCTTCCACCTGGCCAGGTTGCTCAGTGGGTTGGAGCATCACCCCTGTATGTCAAGGTTGCAGGTTTGATCCCCCATCAGCACATACAAGAGACGCCCGATGAATGAATGCATGGATAAGTGGAACAAGTCAGTGTTTCTCTCTCTCTCTTCCTTCCCCTCCCTCTAAAATCAATGAATGAACCCTAACCGGTTTGGCTCAGTGGATAGAGCATCGGCCTGCGGACTGAAGAGTCCCACGTTCGATTCCAGTCTAGGGCATGTACCTTGGTTGTGGGCACATCCCCAGTGGGAGGTGTGCAGGAGGCAACTGATCGATGTGTTTTTCTGTCTTTCCCTCTTCCACTCTCTCTCAAAATCAATGGATAAATATTCTTTTGGTGAGGGTTTAAAAGAAAAAGAAAAAAAAAAAGGCTGAGAAGCAGGAGTTGTAGCCCATGATGCCACTTGAGTGACCTTGAACAAGTCATCGCAACGTCTGCATTTACTGACAGCTGTCCTTCAGAGAGCTTATTGCTCATAGAGCTACTGTGAGTGGACAGGCTCTGCAGGAGGCCTGGCGACTCCCGCCTTCCCGTTCGGGGAGCTTCGTGCCCCTGGCAGGTTTACTGCCTTGTCTTTGACACTGAGTGCTAGCATCTAATAAAGTATTAATAAGTTCTTCCTGTGCCGGGATGCTAAGTGTTGCAGCGGAGCAGGGAATGTGCACAGTGCCTGACGGAAGCGGATGTTCAGATGGGATTCATTGTTAGTTTTGACGTTTGGTAAACTTGCAGTTTTGCTGATTTTAAAAAGGCTACAACGTATAATAGAAAGCGGCGTTAGCTTTGTCCTGGCTGAGTTTGCTGTCGTCTGTTGTGCTAATGAAAACCTGGTACCAGACTTAGGGATAGCAGCGGGCTCTGGCTTCCCAAAGCTTTCTTTGCTCTTTCTGTTCATAGTAGCAAGTGCTTTTTTTTCTAAAAGACCGTCTCTCTCTGAACTCTGCTTCCTGCGAGTCATGAGTTTGATTTGGAGGGGAGGGGTCCCAGAAGCTGGGTTGAGCCTGGGAGTGGGGTGCAGGCCTGGTCCACACAGGCAGGGTGGGGCCCGGAGGTACAGCTGTGGGCGCTCTCAGCTCTGACGGGTTGGCAGGGAAGAGGATTACCCGGAGGCGGAGGCTCCGCCAGGCCCTGGCTGGACAGCAGAGCTGGTCAGGGGGGCCGGGCCCAGTCCAGAGGGGCGCCTGGTGGGGAGGGAACTGTTGGGAGACCCAGTGCGTTCCGCTGACATCTCATAATGTGATCGGCAAACATCATGGGGTTAAACTGAAAATGTGTTTTGTTGTTGTTGTTGTTTTTATTTTTTATTTTTTTTATTTTTTACAATTTTTTTATTAAATTATTGTCTGTGTACATATTTTAACATGTTTTTAAATATATATAAATATAAATTTGAATGAAGTGAACACATATCTTTTATTTATTTATTTTTTTAATATATTTAATTGATTTTTTACAGAGAGGAAGGGAGAGAGATAGAGAGCCAGAAACGTCGATGAGAAACATCGACCAGCCGCCTCCTGCACACCGCCCACCGGGGATGTGCCCGCAACCAACTCACATGCCCTTGACCGGAATCGAACCCAGGACCCTTCAGTCGGCAGGCCGACGCTCCACCACTGAGCCAGACCGGTTTCGGCAAAAGAGTGTTTTCTTTA